TCAATCGAACTTATAATTATGGAACACTTTCTCTGATGCTTCAATTCATCTTATGGAGCAACAGATGACAGACTCAGTGATTAAATCGGCATGAGGAAAAATAAAAAGGTTGACGTAGCAAACATTAAAAAATCGAAGTAATAATGAAAGTAAAAAGAAAATCGACTGTATAGATATCGGAGAAGTCACAAGTCGTTTGAATGCATGCAGAAGCCTTCGAACGCGGTCTAACCTTAGCGATATTACCGGCAAGGAGAGAGAAAGTAAGAGAGAGACGAGAGAAAGAGAGAAAAGAGGGTTGTAAGCCGTGGGATCGGACGGGCACATTCCTCAGGACCGTACTTATAGCTGCTCGTGGTATCGGATACCTCGTGCTTGCTGCTGTCTCTTGTCTCTTTACCGACACTGCACGCCAGTCGCCTTCGTCCATTTTATAGTCATCTCTCTACGCGAGATCGTTCGCAATCGAAAATAGAACACAGAAATCGCGAGGGAAATTAATTGTGACTTCAGTTATCTCCTCTTGTTCAATACTTGTATTTTTACCCTTCAATTTGCAGCATGTTCTGTGATAAAACTGGATGACTTCAAACTGCATTGATTTATTCGTATTTGAAAAGCAATCTAGAATGAAATCCATTCCCAGAACTATTCGTGAAGAGATAAATGCGAATGCATCGGTATTTTTAAATTCCAGTAGTCCGTGGGTGTCTCGCATACATGAGGATGAAAATAAAAAGTAAACAGCATCAGGCGATGTTGTTTAAACGGTTATCACAGCTTTCTACGTAAATCGTCTTCAATCCTTTTTTAGCTCCGCCCTTTAAAGTCGCAGCCAGACCAGGCCGGGCCGGGCCAGACCAGACGCGTTTATCGTGACGCATTCGCTCCACTTCCTTCCCCGTGACACATCGTGCGTACCGTTCCCACACTACCTACTACCACCGGCTAGTCTGCAGCACAATTTAGATAAACCAGCGTGGTGGAAAGATTAAAAGGTTAGCCGAGAAAGTGGAGTAACGTTAATTGCCGCCACTTGAACCGCGACCTCGCCAGAAGCCACGAACAGTCCGGGCGGGGATGTAACTTAAGGATCTTACCCCAAAAAGGAACCTGTCTTTGTAAAAACAACCGCACACTTGTATTCGCCTGCCAAGTAATCCAGCTTCGGAAGAGTACTCGGTTTCATTAGTACAAACCCGATGAAAGAATTGGTTAATAAATAAGCAACAAAACGAACTAGGAAATTGTAAAAAGTACATACTAATTCTACGTAAGCTTGTTATAAAACTCTTTTAATCATAATGCAAATTCTCTCTGAATATTATTTAGATATTAAATTCTACATAATGAAATGCCAACAGTTTACCTGGAAATAACTTCAATTTGTTTATCGGTCAGGAACTGTGCACACCTACTCTATGAGTAACTCACACGAAATGCTAGCTTATAACATAACTTCCACACGATCTCACAGAGGTCCGAACTTTAATTTCACACGAATGAAATTGTATTGAACGAAGCAGGACCGAACTCATTAGAAAATAATTTAGCACAATTACCCAGGGAATCCTTTCCCCATTCCCCAGCCACGTTCCTATAATTGCATAACGATGATGATTCGATGAAATGTTAGTAGGTCTTCGAAGGCAGGTCTGTTCGTCCCGAGATTAAGCGAGCGCGGTAGTAAATGAAACTCCGAACGTAGGTACTCTTATTTCTATTCACGTGAGAACGTATAATCGATCGGCGCCCTCAATTTTCTCGTTGGCCAATATCATCGAGTGGGAGCAGCGGGGATTGCAGAATATTCTAATAAGACTGAAATCGAGCGTTATCATCGCCCGCGCAAATTTCGTAACGCGAAACCGACACATCGCACCTTGCGTGTCACCCACGCAGTTGATCAATAAAGAAATAATACACTCTTCGAGAGACCCATAAATTGATATTTCATTTTCCATTCATTAATGAGAGATTGAATGAAGTTCCATTACTTCGCACCGCGAAAATTCAATCAATTTCCTGCGACTAACATATTAGAAAACGGCTAAAAAAAATCACGTTGCTGATAAAAATGGGAGGCAACCGCGGTTAATAGAAAGAGTCCTTAACTTTCACTGTTGCGGCACTCGAGGGAATCTCGACGACGTCTGCCGATGTTTCGCCACAAAAGATATTTTCAATGACATCGTCAAGAGTTATTTTACTGAAGAGACACGCTCGCTCGCCATGCTCGCTCATCGAACAGCACTCTCGGCCTCACCTATTGAACGTAGGCACCCTCGCCCGGCGTGGTTGACAATGGAAAACGCGAGATTGATCTCGCTCGGTGGCGTGTCCACGGACAAAACCTCGAAGTCTTTTAACGAGCCCTTAGAGGTGTATAGAGTCCAAATTTGATCACGGTCGTCGGCACACGGGACGCACCCCCATGGACGGCCCGCGTCGATCGAGTCGACTCGAGGAGGATTCCAGGTGGATTCAGGTAACTCGTGTGCCTCGACAATGGTGCGCCGTGCGACGATACTCGTTTTCATCCCCCTTGTGAACCGCAGTCGAAATGTAGTTATTTTGGGTTAAGAGGAGAAGAGGGTCAGATACCTAAGGATGAAACGATATGGCGTGCACGGTATGGAAAAAGAAAGACTATGGGGCAAGAGAGAGGGGCTGCTTCCAGGTCGCAGACGTTACGGAATTCCTCTCGACATCAATAGAGCATCGTGCACAAAGGGTGGGCCATTATTGTCGGGGCACTTCATAGGAGCCCCAGGTACAATATGAACTCTCGACGGTCTTGGTGGAGGCATAAGTTACACCTGGTAGCTCCTCAATAACACATTACTTCCCCGGCAAAGAACGCAGTAATGGCTTCGTCGTGGATTCGTCGTGCCACTCGAACTTGCCCGTTCATTCTCTCCCTCTTCGCTTTGCCCGTTTTGTTGGAGAACTGAAAGCATCTTTTTGTGGCACTTTTCCTTCGCTTAGAACCTTACTCGCCAACTATGTACGAGAAACCCATGGGAATATAATTGGCACCAAGGGACATAGGTATTCTCTCCGGTCGCTTTC